GGGGACACATATTCCCAGAGGAGACTGGACTGAATACAACACCGGCCCCTCCCATCTGAGACTAATCCAACAAATGGCTAGCAATTTGCGACCGTGATTTATTAAATTTACGGTAATATACTGTAAATGGTGCTTATATTAGTAGATGTATGGTCAGGTAGGGTTGGGAAGTATATTCATTGCAGCATGGAAATGCACCAGGTTTGGTTTTCGCAGATTCGAATCTAGATGACGTTATTGCCAGGTAAGAAGTTTATCTTCACACTATATTATATGTTTTTTAAAAAATAATAATTTAGTTGAAAGAAAGACTGCGGCTTCGTTTGCCTTTGGCTCGACCGATCCGTCCCGAAGTGTGCTACTTTCCTTTTTAATAGCGCTTAACGAAAAAAAATCAACTAACGATGTCGGCGTGAAAATGCGTTTCTGAATTACGCTTTATAAATGGTTGTATTAACGGAAAAAAGTAAATTTGTCCAGTTCCGTGAAATTGGCCCTCCTACAGAAACCACAAACGGTGAAACCCAGCTCATTCATTAGTGCCGGTTTGTGGCGTTGAAAGTAGCGTTTGTGCTGCTCTCGTTCCCGAGATATAGCGCGGTAGATTTTGCATTTAATATCATTTAATATGTGAGCAGGAAAATTAAATATGTTACGAATACCACATACCCTAATCAGAAGAGTTTCGGGTGTAGTCTAAAAAAGCGAACACTAGAAAACAATTGCATGTTCTTACTAAGAGGCTTAATACTTCTTAGAGGTGTGCTTTCTTAAAAACCTGAAGGAGTGATCAGTTTTTCAGTTTCACTGTCTCCTTCTTAAACGCACCAAGGGACGTGTAAAGATTCGACCGTCTGTCGAGCCACGTGTTCAAAAAGGCTTTAATCTTCAACTTTAGAACAACAAGACCACTGTTGCACTTTTTATACAAAACACATTCGTTATAGTGAAAAAGAACCAGGGTGTTTTTTAAGGGCCTACGTACAAGGTTGTCGCGGGTAGTAAATAACACACCCGAGAAGCAACACTGGAAAGTCCACCGTCTCACACCTGCGGACCGCTGCAATATTGGAAACATATTTTTTTATTTTCACATAACAGAAATGAACATATATCTGAATTCTTTAATAAACTGTCATTATCCGTGTGTTTGTATTTACACGGGTCTTATGCGCAAACATGAAGCGATGAACTCACAGTCCTTAGTTTTATCTTTGTGTTTCTGGCCAGTCCTTGGTGTAGAATACAGTGTGAGGGCACACCTGCCCTCTGAAGACACAGGTATGGGCGCCTGTGTTAGATCCTCAGGTGAAGTCGAGTCTTCTGCAGTCT